TAAGTATCCACAATTTGTAACGTAATAAATAACTTGTATAGTGCCATACATTAATTTATAATCGGAACACTGTTTCCATTTCGGAGATGCACGGAGAGATGCTTCTGTAAACGTGGTTTAGTTAGAAATGCTAACGGAACATGCATTCCTCAACAACACTGTAAAATCGGCTATACATATATTAGCTATTTAAATATGCTCCCGATTCTGCTAATGGAATTATTATAATGTTAGATTCAGTGTTCAAAAGTAACAACAGAAATTGGTACAATTTGTAAATTTAATAATTCTGCAACTCATTTATTGGCTATATAAATTATCATTATAGCATAACCTTGTATATCTTTTTAATATATCATTTCTGTGCTTAAAATGCGTTGAATAAAAATCAAAATTGGTATATGTTTCGTACAAGTATACGAAAATTGGAGCGAAAAGTACGAAAAACATCACATTATAAAATATATTTCCATAATTAGCGTTGATCTAACACTATAAATGTAAGAGCTTTTGCTGTGTAATTGAAAAGATATTTTTCATTGGGGAATTGTGTACACGTGTTACTTTTTGCGTTGGAAAACTGAACATGCTAATATTCGTAAGAAGCTATGAAATGTGTTCCTTCACATGGCAAACTGAAATATGCTGTTCTTCGCAAGAAAAATAAATCGTGCAATTTTTTATAAAACACATTAATGTAGATATTGTGTTTCAAGCAGCATCAGCCATACGCGAAGCTACATAACGCGACTAATTCTGAATCTATGACACCAAAGTATTCCAATTAATGTCATTAATTAATGTAATATTGAGCATTGAAAGAACATTTTCTTTACACGCCAACTTTAAATTTATTTTTGTACTCAACAATTATCAAGTTCGCTGCAGTGCAAGTAATTAAAATTAATATTCCGGACGTTCTCCATGTTTAAGCTCTTAGAAACCCGTTCTTAAGGTCAAACTTCAAAACTTTGTTAGAATTATTTTTGGCAAAAACTTTAAACTACCACGTTCCACCTTGATCGAATATTTCTTATCGAATTGCGATACACGGTTTGGAAATAGTTCCACGGAACTGAGTTCTGTGGATAGAGTATCACATCAAAGAAATATACTTAAAGATTGACGTTCGTAAAAAATATATTTTTATTACTAAATATGACAATATAACAGTTAATGTGCTTATTAAACTAATTAAGCTAATTATGCTAATGTGCTTAAAATACAGACTATAACAGAACAATAAATTTTCTTTATACAGTCTAAATCCTCATAAGAAATGTATGCAACGTTAACATAAGTTTCATCGAAATCGGCGTGCGTGGATTGAACATGTCCCTTTATTAATCATTAAAAGCAATTACTACAATGGTTATACATATTGTCAAAATAAAAAATATAGATTTGACTATAATAAATAGTTTGCAGACCAGAGTAGTGCCGAAAGTCATGTGGACTCCAAGGCAAAATGAAAGTATGTACATGCTATCGAAGAAATGTTTGTAACGATAAGATTGGAGGAGAAGTTCGACGTGAAGTATGAAAATTACATCGAAGATAGAGACTCAACAATTTCCGAAGCTATTTTAGATATGAATCCATATGGCGACAAATTACCTATGATAAAAAGTGAGTGCGTCGGTCACATCGGAACGAGGTTAGGCTCCAGGGTTCGAAACGTGAAAAAGAAGAAACTTGGGGGAAAAGGGTAAATTCACGGAGGCTCTTACAAAAAAGTCTACTACCCATTCTAGCCTATCCATCTGAAGAAATATTCACAGTGCTGAGGACATCAAACGAAGATATCATGGATACCTTCTACCAGATGTGCCGCAAATGAAAATCTGCAATAGGGATACTACCTGCCGGAATCAGACAGCTGGGTCAACTGGCAAAAAAGTAAAGTGAATGGAGCAAGCACGTTTGAATATCTACCATAGTACTTAGAATGTATACATTGGAAAATGCGAAAGACCTGAGAAATTTTACTTTTACAGAAGATTTTAATGCTCATCTACCCAGGAATTGCTTCAGAATGAACCGCACAAGAGAAAATCTCCCAAGCTCCTGAATTCTACTATTATACTTGCTGCTTCAAACAGTATATCTACACTGATATGTTTTGTAAAAAAATACAAATTCCATTTATCTTGCTAGAAACTGCATATTTTAGTTTGCCATGTGATGGCACACATTTCATAACTTTTTACGAATATTAGCACGTTCAGATTTCCAACGCAAAAAGTAACGTATGTACAGAATTCCGCAATGAAAAATATCTTTTCAATTACACAGCGAAAGCATATACATTTGTAGTGAGATCAGTTTTAATTATTGAAATATATTTCATAACGTGATGTTCGTGCTATTCGTTCTAATTTTCGTATGCTTGTACGAAACATACCCGTTTTGATTTACATTCAACGCATTTTAAAGACAGAAAGGACATATTAAAAACGTATATAACTTTATGCAATAATGATAGTTTATTTAGCCAATAAACGCGTTACAGAATTACTAAGTTTATAAGTTAGACCAATTTCTGTTGCTGCTTTAGCACATTGAATCTATTATTAAAATAATTCCATTTGTAGCATAAAGACACATATTATCGCTTTATTTATTGATTTGATTTCGGACGGTCTTGAGCTGAAATACATTTGCCGTTGTCATCTCTAACCAAACCGGCTTTACAGAAGCATCCTTCAACGCATGGCTGAAATAGAAATAGTGTTCAAATTATAAATTAATACATGACACTAAAATAATTTGTTACACCGCAAATTATGGATACTAACCTCAGAACATCCCTTCGGGAAAAGGTTGTCGCAATAAAGTTCGCAAATACTGCCACACTCCTTATGTACTAAGTTAGAGCCTGCCTTTGAACAATCTAGTTCCCCTGCAACTTCTAACAAAAGATATGCAAATAAAACATACAATACATTATAAAAAATGCAAACGAAAAATAATGTATCACACAAAGGAGTAGGTAGTATAGAAGTGTATTTCAATAAAGAAATATATATCCCGGATATTTATCTGGTTTTTGGGAAATGTAAGATGTTGATGGCATGAACCTATGTATCTCATTAAGCGAAGGATCGGTGGTAACCAATAGCCAAGGACCCCGCGACGAATTCTAAGAGTCGCGGTCGGTAGGATTAGAGGTTGATGCACTATTTTTGACAATTGGCAAACGTGTCGCGCCTCATGGCCGATGACCCAACCTCATGGTGTTGCGAACCGATAAGGGCATTTTAGAAGGATCTGGTCACTGCGTGCGGAAAATATTGCATCGTTTGGTAAGAGGATCATAAGGTACAGCATGGAAATTAGCCCAGAATCTTGACCGAATACGCGTTGCCAATAATTAAAAAATAATATATCTTTTTTCGCTAGCTAGTTGAAGGGCTAGGTAAATGAAGGAGAGGGAGAGAGCGTTTGTTAAGAGGATAAATGTAATTGCTATCAATATGTATTGTATATGTATATCTACCTTACTTTATTAAGCGACATCTATAATGTATATACGATAGATATTTCATATTGTTTTGTTTCTCTATATATGCTCAGTCCTTGTAATAAAGTCAAGCTGCATGAACGCGTGCGTAATAAGAGTTTCTTGATTAGGAACGGTAAAACCTCTAAGAAGCAATTAATAACAGCGTTTCGTTCGGGACCTGCTAGTAGACTTGTCAGTAAGGTATCGTAGTAGGCTCTTGCCTTAGGCACGAGAATGTACAGAAGGAATGGACAGGAACTATTAGAATGAATAGGAAAGCTCGTTGTGTACTAGCGAGGAAGTCAAGTCTCGGTCTTATGCGCCGTCTAGTGGCGATGAGCGTAGGAGTGAAACCGCCACGTCCAAGTTATCATTAAACTCACTATTGCACTTTGGCATGAATCTATTTTTTGCATTTTGAAATAATTTTAAACGTCCTTATTTATGGCTTTTATTAATTTTTGTCAGTATAGGCACTTCGACAACGACCTAACATTATCGAAAGATAGTGCCAAAAAAAAAACTGGTCATTCTCTGTCACTTCTTATAAGTTTTTAAGTAAAGAAAATTTTAGTATTCTATTATAGTCTGAATTTTAATTATATTGCAATGTTGTATTTCATCATACAGAACGATCTATTAACGTGACATAATGAATTGATCTCATTTAAAAGTAATGAGTTCATCTGCTAAATTAGAATTGAACAAAACGTGAGAAGGAAGGAGGGACTTTAAGAGAAGGTTCGATAAGAAATATTCGATCAAGGTGGAACGTGGTAGTTTAAAGTTTTTGCTTCACTTCCTTTATATTCGAACTCCACTATAACTTGAGAGCTTAAATTAATCCAAGAAAAGTTCCGAAGTTCGACCTTAAGAACGTGTTTCTAAGGGTTCAAACATGGAGATTGTCCGGAATATTAATTTTAATTACTTGCACTGCAACGAACTTGATAATTGTTGGGTACAAAAATAAATTTAAGGTTGGCGTGTAAAGAAAATGTTCTTTCAATGCTCAGTATTACATTAATTAATGACATTAATTGGAATACTTTGGTGTCATAGATTCAGAATTAGTCGCGTTATGTAGCTTCGCGTATGGCTGATGCTGCTTGAAACACAATATCTACATTAATGTGTTTTATAAAAAATTGCACGATTTATTTTTCTTGCGAAGAACAGCATATTTCAGTTTGCCATGTGAAGGAACACATTTCATAGCTTCTTACGAATATTAGCATGTTCAGTTTTCCAACGCAAAAAGTAACACGTGTACACAATTCCCCAATGAAAAATATCTTTTCAATTACACAGCAAAAGCTCTTACATTTATAGTGTTAGATCAACGCTAATTATGGAAATATATTTTATAATGTGATGTTTTTCGTACTTTTCGCTCCAATTTTCGTATACTTGCACGAAACATATACCAATTTTGATTTATATTCAACGCATTTTAAGGACAGAAATGATATATTAAAAAGATATACAAGGTTATGCTGTAATGATAATTTATATAGCCAATAAATGAGTTGCAGAATTATTAAATTTACAAATTGTACCAATTTCTGTTGTTACTTTTGAACACTGAATCTAACATTATAATAAATCCATTAGTAGAATCGGGAGCATATTTAAGTAGCTAACTTATATATAGCCGACTTGACACTGGTTTTGAGGAATGCATGTTCCGTTAGCACCTCTAACGAAACCGCTTTTGCAGAAGCATCCCTCCGTGCATACCTGAAATGGAAACAGTGTTCCGATAATAAATTATTGTATGTTTTTTATATTTATCGCGCCACAAATTGTGGATACTAACCTGAATACAATACGGTGCGGGATTCTCGCAAGTAGCTTGACAAGCGGGGCCGCACATCCTAAATGTTTCCTGAGGGCCACACTCTCCTCTGATTCCTGCAACTTTTTAACAGACGGTATGTAAACAAAACATACTTTAAATTATGTAAAAGCCTGTATCGCAAATAAAAAATAATTTATCACATACATAAAGGAGTATGTAGTATACAAGTATCTTTCAATAAAACATTTTAAGCAACATATTTAAGAAACAAAATTTTTCAACATATTAAACAAAAGAAAAATAATAAAGATTTCCATTGAACGCAATTAATAACAGGAAGAAAATGAATTAAAAAATAAATTCCTTGAAAATTTTGGTGTTCATAATATACTACATTATTAAATATCCTATTTTAAATCCAGCAAGGTTTCTGGATTTAAAAAGCCAGTTTATATTTAAAAGGCAAGAAAAAATATATGAGCAATTAGAAATTAAACATCTGGTAATGTAGAATTCTAAATTACAATTGTTTAATTCGACGTTCACGTCAATGAAGTACCAACCGCTTAGTATAAAATCGAAAATTGCATATTAATTTGTCGTATATCTAATTTTTCCACGTGTGTATATCATAATATTACATTTATACATTCTACATTTTTAAATTAATTGTTGCCCGTGCAACAAATTAATATATGTATATGAATTGAAGATAGAAATTGAGGTGTTCATTTGAAACAAGTGTCCAAATGAGAAAATTCTGAAGTTCTTATCCATTTACAGTGCACAAAAAGATAAGTTTTTAATAACTGAAAATATACTTTATGATACGAGGTTACTTTATCACAAACAAGATCGTTCCCGTTTAATTACTCACCGATAGCGAAAATCGCCAGGAATGCAAATAACGCAAGAAGAAATCTGGACATTTTTTTGTATGCTGCGGGTTTAACGTTTCAGTAAAAACTGTCGCATCTTCGGAGGATACTTCTTTTATACCTGCAACTACACCAATGTTCTCTGTTCACGTTTGCCACACTCCAGTTTTTTTTGGTGAACATGCCTCTGTTCACCAAAAACTATTCAGTGATAATGCCACTTTCGTTAATTACATCGACATCATTTACTAAAGTTAAACAATGTTATATGAATGTTCAAGTATTGAATATTCATAATTACATTAAATATTCATAAAGTTTGTATTATAAAGAAGCTATTAAAAGTTGCTACCTTTTGTAATAAACTGTTGTAACCTTAAATGAAGGAATTTTTTTCATGAATAATGATGCGCGTCATAAATTATGCATCACACTTGAATGATCATATTTGAATGATTATATGCAACAGGCTGTGACAAAGTGGTTACTTGTTTATGTATGTCTAATTTATTAAGTCATAATTGAAATTACAACAGAAAGTAGATAGTCCTGTATGAATGCATCTCTCGAATTTAACTTCAATCCGGATCGAAATTTTGTACAGTTAAATGAACGCAGTGCGAAAAGCAATTAAAATTTTGATCGGCTCAATAATCGGCTGCTTATAAAAGCAAATATTTGCGATAATTTTATTATTTAGGAACCCATGGCTTCTATTTTCTCTAGGGCAACCAAATTTGCACTTGAGTATACATTAACTGTTTGGAATATTTTGCATAAGAAGATATGAGACTACAGAGTTATAAATAATTCACGAAATATTTCAAACTTCTGATACGAAGTACGGTCAAGTCTTCGTAACTGCTCGTACTGTGAAACTGAGCAGTTACGGTGAATAGTCACAGTTTTTAAGAGTATCGCAGAGTATATTTGTTCGGGCAAATGCAACGTATACTATTTTGTAATATTTTTATACATCAACCGATTTTAAAAAACTTCATTTACTTGTTTTCACTTGTTAATTGCTTTTCGCACTGCGTTCATTTAACTGTACAAAATTTCGATCCGGATTGAAGTTAAATTCGAGAGATGCATTCGAACAGGAGTATCTACTTTCTGTTGTAATTTCAATTATGACTTAATAAATTAGACATACATAAACAAGTAACCACTTTGTCACAGCCTGTTGCATATAATCATTCAAGTGTGATGCATAATTTATGACGCGCATCATTATTCATGAAAAAAATTACTTCATTTAAGGTTACAACAGTTTATTACACTAGGTAGCAACTTTTAATAGCTTCTTTATAATACAAATTTTATAAATATTTAATGTAATTGTGAATATTTAATATTTAAACATTCATATAACATTGTTTAACTTTAGAAAATAATGTCGATGTAATTAACTAAAGTGGAATATACCTATTGAATTTTCAAACGTACCATTATCGTTAAATTGTGTACACAAATTGATTCAAAACGTACTTAAATGGGAGCACACACAAGTATTTATCCTGTTTTATGTTCATCAAAAAAACTGGAGTGTGACAAACGTGAACAGAGGACATAGATTGGTGTAGTTGCAGGTATAAAAGAAGTATTCTCCGAAGATGCGACAGTTTTTACTGAAACGTTAAACCAGCAGCATACAAAGAAATGTCCAGATTTATTCTTGCGTTATTTGCATTCCTGGCGATTTTCGCTATCGGTGAGTAATTAAACGGGAACGATCTTGTTTGTGATAAAGTAACCTCGTATCATGAAGTATATCTTCAATTATTAAAAACTTACCTCTTTGTGCACTGTATACGCATAAGAATTTTAGAATTAATTTTTTCTCATTTGTGACACTTGTTTCAAATGAATACCACAATTTCTATCTTCAATTAATATATATTAATTTGTTGCACGGGCAACAATTAATTTAAAAATGTTGTTCGGCCGCGAACCGAAACCTTTGCCGCGGTTAAACGATTTATAACAGGGTTCAAGTGGTTCGGCGCGCGGACCGCCGTGAACCGTTCATACCTCGAAATACAGGTCACCGAGGACCCTTTTGTCTCTCAAATTCTATCCGAACCAGTCTTACTGTAAAAACGTGCGTGCCATAAATCAGCTAACAGCTGTACCTCTCTTTTTAAACAATTCTAACGAACGAAAGCGTAGAGTTCTTCCTAACCGTTACCTTCGGAAACGCGAGGGTATTTAGGCGATTCCTCGTAAAAGGAAAAACACAGTCGAACGTTGAAGCTTGCACGGTTCGGATTGAGAGTCGAAGAAGTCAATCATGACTTAGAAGTTTCTGCGTAACGCGACGTAGTATAACCAATGCAGGGAGGTTCGGAAATCATTCACAACACCATTCGAGCGAGACCCTGCACTCCTCGAGTGGGCCACGGTAGGGTGGTTAAATCATACACTGTACACTGTTCGAGCGAGTCCTACACCCGCGAACAGGCCACGGTAGAGTGGTTAAACGTACATACACTGTACACTGTTCGGGCGAGCTCTACACCCTCGAACAGGCCACGGTAGGGTGGTTAAACGTACACATCAACATTATTCGAGTGAGTCCTACACCCTCAACCCGATCATCGTGAATAATCTCACGCAACGTGAATTATCACGCAAATCGAACAACATTGAGCGAGACCCTGTTCTCCTCAAATCGAACCATAATCAACTCAACATACACACAACGTATATACTCGTACACATTTTCACCGTAGAATCATTAACGAATACATATTTTTGTAAGGGGTTTTTTATGCCGCAAGGCTTTTTCCCCTAATTCGAATCATTCGAGCCAATAAACTATCATGATTTTTAAGACTCAATTACGACTAAACAATTTTTATTTACCCTCTTCCTCAATCGAATTCATCTACTCCTTGAAACACGAAATTTCTCCATGTTGAAAAGATTTGGACGATACAAATGTAGAATGTATAAATGTACTATTATGATATACACACGTGGAAAAATTAGATATACGACAAATTAATGTGCAATTTTCGATTTTATGAAAATAATTATAGATACATTTAGCTCATAATTTTGATACTAAGCGGTTGGTACTTCATTGATGCGAACGTCGAATTAAACAATTGTAATTTAGAATTATACATTACCAGATGTTTAATTTCTAATTGCTCATATATTTTTTCTTGCCTTTTAAATATAAACTGGCTTTTTAAATCCAGAAACCTTGCTAGATTGAAAATAGGATATTTGATAATGTAGTATATTATGAACACCAAAATTTTCAAGGAATTTATTTTTTAATTCATTTTCTTTCTGTTATTAACCGCGATCGAAGGACATCTTTATTATTTTTCTTTTATTTAATACGTTTAAAAATTTTGTTTCTTAAATATGTTGCTTAAAATTTTTTATTGAAAGATACTTGTATACTACATACTTCTTTATGTATGTGATAAATTATTTTTTATTTGCGTTACAGGCTTTTACATAATTTAAAATAAGTTTTGTTTACATATCGTCTGTTAAAAAATTGCAGGAATCAAAGCAGAGTGTGGCCCTCAAGAAGAATATAAGGATTGTGGTCCTGCTTGTCAAGCTACGTGCCAGAATCCCGCACCATATTGTATTGATGTTAGTATCCATAATTTGTGGCGTTATAAATATAAAAAGCATTCATTAATTTATAATCGTAACACTGTTTCCATTTCAGGAATGCACCGAGGGATGCTTCTGCAAAAGCGGTTTACTTAGAGATGCTAACGGAACATGCATTCCTCAAGAACACTGTCAAGTCGGCTACATATAAGATAGCTATTTAAATATGCTCTCGATTCTACTAATGGAATTATTATAATGTTAGATTCAGTGTTCAAAAGTAATAACAGTTGCTTTTGACGCGGAACGGAGTTCTCCAACGGCAGGCATTTTCGACATTTAATAAGATTCGCGATATTCGAATTTCCTTGAACGCTGTTAATTTTTTTTCGCGGGAGTTTGGCGTCTCGAATGTCGGCGTTAGTTGAGCACTGTGGCATCCCCCTGCTGCATTTAATCCCCCTGCTAAAAGTTCCTGTTATTAATTGCGATCACATAACACTTTCTGGGCCTCAGAAGTACTCAAAGTTCGCTAATTTTCGAGAAAAAACGCATTTTTATGTTTTCGTAGTTCCAACTTTCACCGCTATATGGACGCCAATTTTTTAGTCGATGTTTAGACCTATTTTTTTATTTTATTTTCTAGCGCTCTGAGGAGGTACTTGTGGCATTATACAGATTCTAGATAGATCACAGAACAATTTCTGACCCTCAGAAATACGTAAAATTGCCTAATTTCGGAGAAAATCTAAATTTTAGGTTTTCGTAGTTCCAACTTTCACCACTAGATAGCGCCACCGTTTTGGACCAAATTCTACAAAAATTGATTTTCTGGCTTTATTACGCATCAAAACGCATCAAACCCTAATAGAAATTTGTTTCTAAATGCCTCAGGTACCATACTACGTCGTCAAGGTGCCGAAATATTGCACTTTGCATGCGCAGTAGAATTGACACAGGTGGCTCATGTACATATCAGAAAGCTGACACATAATAATTAATTACTCGTTATCCGAACAATATTTATGAACTTTATTTATTTATGAAAACGTGTAATTAATTATTCAAAATGATCTCGTATATACCGCTTTTCACGGTGGCTGGTCTTAGGTTATTAGTTAATAACTAATTACTTTCATTAAAAATCTGGACAAATATGATACAAAAAAGTAGCTGAGGAATCACTGAACATTCTTTTATGATAAAAGTGCATAAATTGTGTTTAGAAAATGTGTTATTAATTATTTCAAATTAGCTCATGCGTACGATGTATTCCGCCGACTTCAACGGAAAATTTATTACAAATATATTTCAAATTATTAGAGATTAACATGAAAGTAGAATTGCTCGATTTAAATTTCCCGCTCGTTTCTCCAACTAATTTAAAGGGACAGCGTTTTCGAGAGATCAAAGGTACCGACAGAGAGTGTCGCCTCTGGTTTATTCTATGCTGCAAGCAACACACCTATTTCGGCGCGAACGCCGATTATTATAGACGGCACCCC